GAGTGCGAGGCGCCGCGGTCCGCAGGATGCAGGCCATGGACCCTGCGGCCGCGGATTTTTATGAGGAGGACGGCAAAGACCTGGACTTCTACGACTTCGAGCCGCTCCCCACTCTGGCAGAGGATGAGGTGAGTCCCCGGCCCAAAGGGGAGACCCTCTGCTTTTCTCCGCAGAGGGATTCACGGACAGTCCCCCAGGAGGAGCCCAGGAGCAGCTGGAGGTGTTGGCAGTAGGAGGCTCCCACAGCTGTTCTCGGTGACCCCCACCTCTAGCATTTTCATTTTTCACCTGGAGGGGACAGGACCCCAGAATGCTGCGTGGGACAGCCGTGGGCTGACGAAGTTGGGATCCTGTGTGGAGTGGGCTCTGGTTTATAAATATTGGGTGGCTGAGTGTAGGGGCCAGACAGCGGGAGGGACAGTGTGAGGAGGACTGTTTACCTCCCTGCCAGTGGCATCAGGAGACCGTCTGGAGGCACAGGGCAGCAGAGCCCAATCAGGTGCCCATTCGGGAGCTGGTGGGGGCAGCACAGGATGAGACCCCCCTCCACATTCCAGAACTGAGTTCTGCTTCCTGTTCTTCTAGACTCTGGGCCTTTACCCCGAGTCCAAGTTCTGAGGCTGCCCTCACCGTCCCCCTCCTACCCCTCCCCTCCCCAAGGCACAGAAAGGTTCTGCCTGTGTTTTCATCCCATTGGGCTTCTGGTCATGGACTGGCCCATGTGCCCACAGAACCAATCTGCCCTGACTCGGGCAGAAAAGGAGATCCCCACTTGACCCAGGCCTGCACCCATTGCATTCAGCAGGCCGTAGGGTAGGGTCGAATAAATAAACTTCATGACCCATGAGTAAGCCAGGCCCCTCAGCATGAGCCACTGCCCCAGAGGATGCAGGGGCTCTCAGGAAGACCCTCTCATCTTTCAAGGATACAAGATCTTTGCAGAGAGCCTTCTAAGCCTCCAACAGGTAAAGACCCAGCCATGGGGTTTCTGCGTTCCCTTTTGAAGAATGCTGGCATTTTGCAGCCTGTAGAAGAACCTGGATGTTGAAGGATACCCG